ATATGACCTGGCTCCTTGCACTTGTAGCAATGAATTTCCTTTTTGCCTCTAGACTTTGATCTGGAATTTCGCCTTCCAGATCCCTCCTTCTCTTTCTTCCTTCCACGATCATGCTTACTCTTCACATATAAACTGTCACCGTGAGAGCTTTCCCCTGCATTTTGCTTCCGTTGGTTGTGAGCCAACAACGCTGCAGTAATCTCATCAACTTTGATAGTCTCTTTCCCATATGTCAGAGTAGTCACCAGGTGTTCATAGGAAGCGGGCAACGAACATAACAAAATCATCGCTCAATCTTCATCCTCAATACTCACATCAAGCCGTGATAGGTCTGTGATTATTTGATTGAAGCCATTAACATGCTGCGCCAGATCAGAACCTTCCTGCATCTTCAGCCCATACAACTTTTGCTTGAGATACAACTTGTTCGTCAGAGATTTAGCCATAAACTGAGTTTCCAATTTCTTCCGAACTTCTCCTGGAGATTTCAGATTCATCACGTGATACATAACTTCATCTGCTAGGCATAGTCGTATCGTCGCTGCCGCTCGCTGTTGCAATTCTTCCCATTCTTCATCCTCCATGGCATCTGGTTTTGCTGCTCGCAAAGCCTTCAACATTCCTTGTTGTGCCAACAGATATTTCACCCTGGTTTGCCACAATCCGAAGTTACCAATTCCATCGAACTTCACCACCTCGAATTTCGCTCCAGAAAATGTCATCTGAAAATTGATCCTGCAACAAAACTTTTTTGCAAAAAATTCCTCTGCAAAAATCTTTAGAACAATTTTTTTTTTTAAAAAGGAAAGAAAAAAAAAATATATATTTAATTTTTTTTTTATATCAAATATTTATCCTTAATTAAAGAATTTAACTTAATTAAATTTCTTTAATTAAGTTTTAAACAAACTTTCCTTTCCATTCAACGGAGCCAACAAAGGAGTATATGCAAGGAATATTCTTGGCTTTCCTTTCCTGACCGCCTCCGCTCCTTTCCTGTTTTGCTCCACCAGCAGCGCTTCGAACCTTCCGCCTTCCTTTCTGATTCGCACAAAGGCACGAACGCCCCTCCTCCTTCGGCGGGAACTCTTCCTTCTGCCTTGCGAACTCGGCTCCTTCCCGCGCCGGACAACTCCCCAGCAGCCTTCCGCCTCCCGCGAGCCTCCGCTGTGAGCTTCGACGCCTCCGGCAAAATTTTCCTTCAGAGCGCCGACGAAAATCGGAACCAAAGAGCCGATCCGCCGAAAAAAAAACTTTCTCCGCCGAAGCCGAATTTTCCGCGATCCGCGATTTCTTCTCCCGAGCCGCTTCT